AGACAATATGTCACTGAAAAAAAGATGCAAGAACAAAAAAAACTTTCACTGAAATCCCCCTAGAAAGCTTCCTGAATGTTTATTTTTTGGTTGCAAAACATATTTCTAGGTTTTATTTGGCTTACCGCAATAAAGAGTTATTTGTCCCAATGTTATAACTATGTATCTTGTATCTTACACCTACATCAAGCTTACTATTAAACGGCACAGATGTGTCATCACAAGCACAGGCTGATAATTATAATAGTAATTCTGTAACAGTGCAGCTTCCATCAGAAATTTTTCCTGCCTTTGTTCTCACTATATACATTTACTTTTTTCCGAGGCAATTATTTAAATTATTCAATGCCCTACTTTAGGAAGGTTCATATGAGAAATACAGGGAAGTTATCAGCCTCCTCATCTACATCATTAGTAGAAAAGAGTGGTTTGGAAAATATTTAAGTACAAATCCACAAACTCTTTACATGGGTTTTCTTTCTATCACTGCCCAACCCATCCATGGCTTACAGAGTGCCCAGGGTAGAACTCCCTGGAAGAATTCCTTCTGTGTACTCTTACAATTTGAGGAAGAAGTACTGAGCCAGACCTTGAAAAATGCTGACTGGCATCTTGTGTGTTTCAGAACATTGATAACTTTGTCAAGTACTCATTAGAATGGAAGAGTTTTAAAGTATACTCAAAGCAAGGGGCAGACTTTACTCAAAACATCATTCCATCTGTATCCTCTGAAGCGGTCCATCCTTGAGTCACCGGGTAAAGGGGGGGGGGGGGAGAAATACATTTACTTTTCCCCTCCAAAGAAATTTTAAAAAGTCCTAGGTTTCAATGACAAATAAATACAAGTATCTAATAAGACTCCTCCTATTCAAAGACCTAGGTAGGGTCCTCCTCACACATTATGGTGGAACACAACAAACACACCTCAATAAACTTCCACCTTCAGAAAAATAAAGAAAAAAAGAAAGGTGGTACTCAGAGGCCTCCAGTCCACAGCAAATGTGCAGTTTTGCCGGGCAGAATGTACTTCACAGACCTATTTCTGGGCACCACAGGGGGGAAGGATCTTTTTCTCAACTCCACTTCTCCCGAGAATACAAATCTAGTTCTCTCCTTCCTTTGTTCCTGACTTTACCTAGTCACATCCAAGAGTACCAGAAACACTCCTTTCTTGTGAAATAAGCACTTTCCCTAGCTACCTCCTTCTAATAAATACTAACAGTTTCAAGGATTATTGGAAGTTTATCAAGTCACAGTGACTTTTATACTATAACTTTATAGAACCTAAACTGTACAACAGTAATTTTTTAAAGATTTCATTTATTTATTTTAGGGAGGGGAAGGGAAGGAGAGAGGGAAAGATCAATGTGTGGTTGCCTCTCAGGTGCCCCCACACCTGCACTGGGTACCTGGCCCACAACCCAGGCATGTGTCCTGACTGGACCCTTTGTCTTGCAGCCCATGCTCAATCCACTGAGCCACATCAGTCAGGGCAATTTTTTTTTAAATAGCACTCTACATGGCACACAAGAGTTTCATTTGGTATTATCTACACCCACCATTTTTAGCAACACATGTCTAGCTTTTTAGGTTTATCCCAGGGTCCCTGTGCTTCTCACATGTCCCTACAAGTAGAAATTCCTATCACCAATACATGGTGTCCAGAAGGAGGAACTTCAGGGGAACCATCTAAATCAACTGGAATCTGACTTCAATAGGCATTAGGACAATGTCCTTGATTTGGATTTTGTCAGGGTTTCGAGTTTTAACTTCATATTGACCCTAAAACTATCTTAATGTTAAATTATAAGAGTCAGGGATGAAACAGTTATACCTTTTAGATCTCTCTTGCAAATCAGTTCCTATGCTTTTGATCTCAGGACTTATGAAAATATTTCACATGGAGTAGAAAAATTAAGACGACTTATAAGAGAACATACAGCCACTGTTTTGGAAAGAAAATTCCCACTGGAGGACGCTGGGGGTCCGTTGCCACAGTAACAGGACCACAAACACCACTTTCACACCTAGGTGTGCTGGATCTGAATGTGAACATCACTCATGAAGAAATGTCAGAACACCCTGAGGTGAAAGAAGACCATTAGTCACAGCAGTTTTAAGTATGTCATTCCAGTAATTTCAATAGTCTGGTGCAAATAACACATCTTTTTTAATTACTAAATCTTTTATTACAAAATTGTTAAGTATCTAATGCTGTAACATAATCACATTCACATACACCATATATTTTAGATGAAATATTCAAACTGTTCGCCCATCTATGTGAGACATTCACGTACCCTACCAACCACACTCAAGCAGCTGTTACTTCTGACGGACCCTGTAAGTTTAATTGTGACTCTGTGAGCTACTATCTAGAGCAAGAAATTGTGGGAAAATGCAGTGTCGGTTCAAGGCTCCTACTTACAGGAAGTAAATGGCAGAGCAGCAATATCCTAAAGTGCCTCAGCTGAACTTCCAAAAAATCACGTCATCTCTATTGCCTCTACAGCATAATGTTCTAGTAGGTACTATAAAATATATCAACAATGGAGAATTTTCTCACATGAATGTCTCAACTCTCTGAAGAAATTCCTAATGACATAACGTCAGTGCATTACCAAGTATATACTGAAGTATACCTTGTTACTACAAGTTTGAGCAAGGTTAAATATATGAACCTTGAGGTTGATAAACATATCAACTTCATTCAGCTGTATTAATGAAAAGTTCACATAATCTAAATACAGCATGTCAAAATGATTCTGTCACCATCTGTCAACATACGCATTATAAGCATTAAGCAAGAGTTTTTGTCCTTGTGATACAATGATCCCATAGCATAGTTTTCTTTGGTTTTGAAACTGGAAGCTAATTATTTAGCAAATATAGATGAACAACTTCACATAGTTAGGGGCAAGCTGTCTGTACTTTCTCACATATCCCTGACCACTTTTTTGTTCCAACCACATCAACTGATATTCATCAATTCTATCTATGACTACCCTGAATATACATTAGATTTTATTTTTTTAATCTTTCTAAATATTTTTAATTTATTTATTTTTAAAATTATTTTTCAACCTGTACAGTATTTTTACCCCCTCCCAGCCCACACTCCTACATTAGGATTTTAATATATTGACGTAATTGTTTTTTAAGGGTATCTTGGTCAAGTACTTAATGTTTCTATTTCTTATATTAATGCAAAAAACAAGACACCCTGCTTGGAGACATGCAACACAAGTCTAAGTCAACCACAAAGGGCATCTCCATTTAGATTTTCTTCATACATTGTGCATCCCAATGTCCTCAGTCTTCTGTGGAAAAGTACATGAGTGAAACTCACCTAGTATACAAGAGTTCACAGATATGTTAGGCAGCAACAATGAACCCCATTATTTCACACACACATTAGGAATCAAAACATAGTAGCATGAGTGATATGAGATTGGAATCACATGAATATTTCCTTCTCAAAATATCTCAAATGCTGTCAACATATAATAGGATACATATCCAAAACCCATCTCCTAGATGTTTGGATATACACTAAAAGGTAATTGTCTATGTTTTTAAACTTTGGATGATTCTCTATAGTAAGAATTCTGATTTAGAGCAATACTGGACAACTAAGTCTCTAAGTTTTTATTGTCAATTCTAATATTTTGAAATTTTTTCAATTACATACTTTCCTAAATTTTTTATATCCTGACAGCAACTTTCAGGCATAAATTCTATGGGTTCTTGTGAACTGAATATTTTGAAGCTGTTCATTCTTTGTGATGAACACATAATTTCATCGCAGAGTACATTCCCTGAGAAACAATGTAGCTGTGATTTAGCTAAACTGTTTCTAAATCTTTTTAAAGTTTTATCTAGTAGGAATTCTTAACTTTTTAAAAAAGGTTTTACAGGCTGGAAAGTAGTTGTGCTGGAAGCATTAGATGGTTGGGGAAGGGCTTGAAACACAGGTGTGTATTGCAATCTGTACTAAAAGTTTTCTATTACAGTAATCCTGTTTTACATTTTGGTTCACTCTAGTCAGCACTGAATGTGTTAGATGATATGTATGAATCTTCTTCAATCTGAAAATCCCATAACTCCCACCCCTTTCTTACTTAAACATTGTTATCATGATTTTGAAGGAAGTTTTTGTCAGTTAATTTTCATATCTGTACTAATCCTTCTTCAAGTTGGGGTGGGGGATGATGACACAATTTAGTATATGCTAAGATAAACTCTTAGTGCAAAATAAACAAATACACTTTAGTTTAAAAAACAAGATCTTATCCTGGCTGGAATAGCTCAGGGGATTGAGTACAGGCCTGCAGACCAAAGAGTCCCTGGTTCCATTCCCAGTCCAGGGCACATGCCTGGGTTGCTGGTCTCCAGTAGGGGGCGCGCAAGAGGCATCCACACAATGAGTTTCTCTCCCTCTCCCTTCTCTCTGAAAATAAATAACTAAATTCTTAAACAAAACAAACAACCAAGATTTCACTTACTTTTAGAAAGAAGAGAAGGGAAGGAAATATTAACATGGGAGACATGTGTCAATCGGTTGCCATTCCCATGCCCCCAGCTGGGGACTGGACCCCAAACCAGGCAGGGGCACTGACTGCAAATGGACCAGCAACTTTTCAGTTTGCAGACCAGTGCTCAATCAACTTCAGCCACACCAGCCAGGGCTCTAGTATGAATTCTTATATATCAAATAAGCTGTGAATACTGAAGAACTGTATTCAACATGCTTTTCATTTGTATTGTTTGTATTTACAATGAACTCTGATGTTGACTAGACTTCGAATATTGGTTACAGCTTTGCAACATTTTAAATAGATTTGTTATGCTTCTCTCCTCTATGAATTATCAGATGTGGATTAAGGTATGAAGGAGGATTAAGAACTTTGCCAAATTCATGGCATTTTTAAGTATTCTCTGGTGGTGAATGACAGCTGAACAAGGATAAAAGGTATTGTCAAGTTTTTCAAATTTTATTCTTTCTCTGTAGCATCAATTCTCCAATGTTGAGGAAGTACTGAGCACAGGTGAAAAGCTTTGACACATTTCCTACACTTGTAGTTCTTATCCTCCATGAAATCTGTCATGTTAGTAAGGTAAGAGGACAGCCTAATGGCTTTACCACATAATATACAATATTTCCAATATGAATATTCTGATGTTCAGAAAGGTGAGAGGACTGGCTAAGCCCCTTGTCACATTTCTACCTTTAGAAGGCTTCTCTCCACTATAAATTCACTGATGTTGATTAAGATTTCAGGAACTTTACTAAAGGCTTTGCTACATTCACTGCATTTTCAAGTCTTCTCTCCCATTTTAGATCTCTGATGCCAATTAAAGTTTTGAGGATGGGCTAAAAGCTTTATTACATTCTCTATATTTATAAGGCTTCTCTCCAGTATGAATTTTCTGATGTTGAATAAGATTTAAGGATTTGCTAAAGGATTTACCACATTCTGTACGTATGATAGGCTTTCTTTCAGGATGACTTCTTTGATGTTGAATAAGGGTTGAGGAACACCCAAATGTTTTATTACATTCTCTGCATTTATGAGGTTCTCTCCAGTATGAATTCTGTGGTGCTCATTAAGAGATGAGGAACACGTAAAGGGTTTAGCAGGTTCTCCACATTTATAAGGCTTCTCTCCAACATGAATTCTCTGGTGTTGATTAAGTTTTGAGGACTGGGAAAAGCCTTTACCACATTCTGTACACTTATAAGGCTTCTCTCCCGAATGAATTCTTTGATGTAGATAAAGTGATGAGTACCAGGCAAAGTCTTTACCACATTCTCTACACTTATAAGGCTTCTCCCCAGTATGAATTCTCTGATGTTTATTAAGGATTGAGGACTCTGTAAAGGCTTTACCACATTCTGTACATTTATAAGGCTTCTCCCCCGAATGAATTCTCTGATGTTGATTAAGTTTTGAGGTCCGGGCAAAGTCTTTACCACATTCTGTACATTTATAAGGCTTCTCCCCTGAATGAATTCTCTGATGTTGATTAAGTTTTGAGGACCGGGCAAAGTGTTTACCACATTCTCCACATTTATAAGGCTTCTCTCCTGAATGAATTCTCTGATGTAGATAAAGTGATGAGCACCAGGAAAAGTCTTTACCACATTCCCTACATTTATAAGGCTTCTCCCCAGTATGAATTCTCTGATGTTTAGTGAGAACTGAGGACTCCGTAAATGCTTTACCACATTCGCTACATTTATAAGGCTTCTCTCCAGTATGAATTTTCTGATGGTAAATAAGGGCTGAGGAGTGGCGAAAGGATTTATTGCATTCTTTACATTTATATGGTTTCTCTCCAGTATGAATTCTGTGATGACACTTAAGTTTTGAGGATTGGTTAAAAGCTTTACCACACACTCTGCATTGATAAAGCTTCTCACCAGTATGAATGCTCTCATGTCGTGTAAGGTCTGACAACCAAATAAAGCCTTTATCACATTCTCTACATTTATATGGCCTTTCTCCTGTATGAATTTTCTCATGCCGTGTAAGGTATGACACCTTGCTAAAAACTTTACCACATTCTCCACATTTATAAGGCTTTTCCCCAGTATGAATTTTCTGATGTTGAATAAGCCCTGAGGACTGGGTAAAGGCTTTACCACAGTCTCTACATTTATAGGGCCTTTCTCCTGTATGAATTTTCTCATGCCGTGTAAGGTATGACAACTTCCTAAAAGCTTTACCACATTCTCTGCAGTGGTAACATTTCTCCCCAGTATGAATTCTTTTCTCATGTGGAGTACAGCATGAATGCCTTTTAAAGGCTTCACCACATGTTTTACATTTGGAGAACTTCTTTCCTGTATGAATTTTCTGATGTACAGAAAGACCTGAAGTTCGACTGAATGTTTCTCCACATTCTTTATATTCAGAATGCTTTTCTCCCGTCTGGCATTTCTTAAGTCTATTTTGATTGAGTATATGACTGAAGACTTTGCTACATGGTACACATTTGTAAGTGACTTCACTGGTACCAATATTCCCTTCTTTACTGTGATTGAAGAATTGCTTCAAACACTGGACACATTCACCTTGTTTGTTTGTTTTCTCCATAGTAGGAATAACCTCTTGTGTACTGTAACTTGACATTTTCTCAAAGAGTTTCTGGCCTTTACAATGGTTTTCTGGAAGCTGAAGATTTTCATGTTTGTAAGGATTAAACCCATGGTCAAAATTTTTCCAATGTTCATTACCTTGGCAACTTCTATCTTCATTACATGTACTCTGGTAATTAATGGAGACAGAAAGGCCATTAGTAACAGATTTAATTTCATTACACATGTACACTTATTCCCAAATAACTATTCTGTGGTATCTACTAAACAATGTTGGTTGTATGTATTAAAAATGTGCCCAGCCATGAGAGGTGTGACTACTCAGTTGAGCATTGTTTCACAAAATGAAGCCTTTCCAGTCCTAGTCCCAATCAGGGAGCTGGCCTGGATCGTAGGTTCCATCTACTACAAGGGTGTATGCAAATCGCAACCATTTGAGGCTTCTCTCCCAAAACAATGTTTGGGTTTCTCTTTCTCCCTCCCTTCCCTTCTAACTATGAATCAAATTTTTCAAAAAATCATCCCCAACTGTACATGATACATACTTAAATATGAAAATCCTTATTTCTCAAAAAAGAATAATCATTCTTCAAAGAAAATCTTATGAAACTGATCACATTTAAAATGTCCATGTGCATGATATATCACTGAATTTTAGAAAGCATTGACTGAAAATTTCATCTAAATCTACAATTTAATCAATTCTAATGATTATTCACAACGCAGATTATGTGAATTCTTAAATGTCCTGACTGTCTTTGCAAGAATATATACACACAGGAAATGGTTTCTAGTCTTCACATTTGGACACACATTTATCTGCATTGTCACTGACTTAAAGAAGAATATTTCCATAATGTATACTATTTTTGCCCTATAGAGGTAACAAGGATTTTCTCAAGGAATAATTGTCCTACGTTAGTTAAGTTCCTTTTAACATCTTTTTTTCTCATCACATACTTTCTTAGCAGGCTATCATTACATGATCAAAGGCACCCCTTCCCTATCTTACCAGTATTACTGTAGAGAACAAATCTTCCATCCCTGGCTTTCTCAACAAGGCCTGGTAGTCTGATGGCACAGCTGAAAGATACAAAATAAAGTTTCACAGCTTTGACACATAGTGACCTTACCAGCAGGTTTTGACCATATTCCATTTCTGAGTACTCCTAAAGAAAGTTAAATGTTCCAAGCAAGAAAAGGTATAATGAGAAAAAGTCACATCAAAAAGTGTGTATTCAAGAAGAATCAATTAATGAAAAATTCAGTTTTCTTCCTTGGTTGCTTAAAGACTAGTCACCATCATCATCAATGACACAGTAATTGTCCTGACCAGAAAGTTCAATACCAGTAGACTACATCATCAGAAACAAACGATCCTAATGTCTTTCACCCTGGACAGGCAACAGCATGCAAGAAATTTGTTTTTTATGCTATTGCTTGTTAGACGTTTCTTCCTAGGCACTTACAGATACAAGAAGGGACAGACAAAGGTGGAGTATGAAGGAAGAAGAAACCTAAAACCTCATTTGCAAAATGTTCTTAATGTATGTTTCAGAGATAAGTCTTAATCCTTTTTACACAGTAGGTATTCTATAAATGTGTGAATACAAAAATGTGCAGTATTTAAATTAATGAAGCAAATACCTTTACTTTTATTAAGAATCTGGTCTCTGTAGTGTGATTTTGTCCCTGATGACATGGAGGCCTAGATCCCTGTGATTACAGAGAAAAACATGTAACAAAAGTAAGAATTGTCTGTTTCATTAAGGATGTAGCATGTATCGATACAATTTCCTTTCCTTCCAGCAATGTGAAACTGCTGATGAATTACTTCTTAGCTGAAATGTTTAGACTTGGAGCACTGGTCTCCATTCTTTTCACTGATTTCCTGGCCACTCTGTCTCGGGGTAATGACTCCTGTCGTTTATGTTGCCTTTCAGCATATTAGATTGAAACTGAATTCAGACTCTTGATAGATTGCACCAGAACAGGAAGAAACCACAACCAGAGCTAGAGGTAATATTTTCAATTATGAAAGGTCATAGTTATATGGTCTATTTTGTGAAATAGTACTTGGTCATGGCATGCTTATTCTTCTTCAAGCAGTTTTTGTTTTTTAAAAACTAGCCAAAGGGTGTAGGACCATCCCAGGTATCAGCTTTGTGGTGGGATTCAGAACCCATTTTGGAGGTGGCAAGACAACTGGCTTTGTCTTGATTTATGATCCAATTGATTATACACACAAAAAAGATCCCAAACATAGACTTGTAAGGGGAACATCGGCCAGCGAGGTTCCCTCTAGCGGGGAATGCCCTGAGCCCTTCTCTGAAATGGCTTTTATTAGGGCTGGGAAGTGCAGGGGGACACAGCACACGTGCACAGCTTATCAATCAATGTCCGACAGGCTGTAGTCATAAAAAACTAGCACTGTCTATAGATAAAAATTGAAGAAACATAGAAACCTTTCCAGGTTGGGGTCTGTGAGACATGATGATGCCAGACGGCTGTAAAGCCGTATGTCATGAAGTAAGGAGTTTCACTCTTTATGCCTTGAACTCAAACATCTGGGTTATACCGACAGGGCTTACTGCTGAACAGAGCTGGCTTCAAAGGACAAAAATGTACATTTTAGGCCCGATTCCCATGTGACCCGTGGAATTATAATCGACTCATGCCTGTTACCTGCACTATGACCTGGTTTTCCAGGGAGACTTACAAGCCCCTTTCAGAGCTTGCTTTCTAGGGGCTACAATCTCTGAAACCACAGAGCGGTCCCCAACAGACTTGTATGAAATGACCTGTATGTGAAGGAAAAGACTTCAAGGAAACAGAGATAGGTATACAAGAACACAATGAAGAAAGTCAGGGGGACTGTATGGGCCAACATTGGTGCTAACAAAATAAAATGAGGAACAACCAACTGTATGGGAAAACATATTTGCCAATGATACCTCAGACAAAGGTTTAATCTCCAAAATATACAAAGAACTTACACGACTCCACTCTAAGAAGTCAACTAACCCAATTAAAAAATGAGAAAAGAACTTAAACAGACACTTCTCCAAGGAGGACATACAGAAGATCCAGAGACACATGAAGAGATGCTCAGTATCGTTAGCTATAAGAGAGATGCAAATTAAAACCACAATGAGATACCACTTTACACTGGTCAGGATGGCTACCATAAACAAAGCAACAAACAACAAATGTTGGAGAGGGTGTGGGGAAAAGGGGTCCTTAGTTCACTGTTGGTGGGATTGCAGACTGGTACAACCATTATGGAAAACAGTATGGAATTTTCTCAGAAAAATAAAAATCGACCTGCCTTTTGACCCAGCAATTCCACTGCTAGGATTATATCCTTTTTTTTTTTTTTTTTTTTAGGATTATATCCTAAGAATCCTAAAACATCAACTTCAAAGAACCTATGCACCACAATGTTCATAGCAGCACAATTTACAATAGCCAAGAGTTGGAAGCAACCTAGGTGCCCGTCAGTAAGTGAATGGATCAAAAAATTGTGGTACATATACACAATGGAATTCTGTGCAACAGAGAGAAAGAAGGAGCTACTACCCTTTGCAAGAACATGGATGGAACTGGAAAGCATTATGCTGAGTGAAATAGGCCAGGTGTTGAAAGACAAATACCATATGATCTCACCTTTAACAGGAAGCTAAACAACAAAACAAACAGGCAAGCAGAATAAAAACAAAGACACTGAAATAGAGAACAGGGGGACAGTGACCAGAAGGGAGAGGGGAGGGAATTTAAGGGGGGGAAAAAGGGGAGGGATTTGGAGGAACAAGTATGAAGGACACAGGGACAAGAACTAAGGGGGGTGGAAATGGGAGGGAGGTGGGGGACATGGAGGGGGGGTGGCTGGGATGGGAGAAGTAGACAGAAAATTGTACTTGAAAAATAACTAAATATAAAATTTTTAAGAAATAAATAAATTTTTAGGACAAGCTAAAAAAAATTAAAAATTAAAAATAAAATGAGGAAAGATTCTTCAGTGACTTTATCAGTGGGGACTATTCAAATTTTTCACAAGAGAACTAATAAACTAAACTCTTTTTTTAGTGATTTTTTAAAATGTTTTATTTATTTATCTTTATTAGAGGGGAAGGGAAGGAGAGAGGGAGAGAAACATCAATGTATGGTCGCCTCTGGTGAGTCCCCTGCTGGGAACTGGCCTGCAACCCAGGCATGTGCCCTGACTGGGAATTGAACAGCGATCGTGTGGTTCGCAGGCCCATGCTCAATCCACTGAGCTACACCAGCCAGGGCTAATAAACTAAACTTAGAAAAAACTTATCCCATGATCATACATTGGAATGATTACTGTAAGCCATCAGTAATACCCCAGCTTATCCAAACATTTAAAGCATTACTTATCAAAATCCCAATGACACTTTTCCACAGAAATAGAATAGTCCATTCTGAAATGAAGATGGGGGTTGACTGGTGTAACTCAGTGGGTTGAGCATCATTCCCAAAAAAAGGTCGCCGATTCAATCCCAAGTCAGAGCAGATGCCTGGGTTGCAGGTCATTTCCCCTTTGGAAGCAGGACAGATGCAACCAACTGATGTGTCTCTCCCATATCAATGTTTCTCTCCCTTTTCTCCTCCCTCGATCCCCTCTCCATAAAATTACATAAATAAAATATTTTTAGAAACATATTTCAAAGCTTCTCTTATCAATAAAGTATATAAAAACCATTAGGCAGACATCAATAATTAAGCACGGTGGATAAAAGAGCCTACATACAACTTCTTCTGTATAAGCTCAGAGGAGCCTCAACACGGAGGCTGAATACAACCAAATAAGGAAAGGATATTCACATAATCAAAGACTGCTGAAAAAACTGGTGGTCCATGTGTGAAATAATGAGTGAAGTTGGACCCCTACATGAAATAATATCAAATAGTGAATAAGAATGGAGGAAAAATTTATCATAAAACCAGTAACTGTTAATCTACTAAATGAAAAGGTATAAAAAACATTTTGACCTATTTGTTTCACTATAACACCAAAAAAAAAAAAAGGCAAACAAAGTAAACAGAGACAAAATGGCATTATACCAAATAGAAAAACTTCTGCACATTAAGGCTAATCATCAGTGGGTGAAAAATACAACCTGTGGAATGGAAGAAAATTAGTGAAAAGCATATATTTTCTAAATCTTTAGCATTCTGAATATATACAGTTATCTTTGAAAAACACCACGATAAAAAAAGTAGCACAATTTTAGAAATGACCAAACACATATGTTTAACTAATCTGTAAGTTAGGTACAGACAGACACTTTCTTAAGTTGTGCGAGAGAGGCTTGTCCTATGGTAGTGGGTTTTCAGGACTCAACTCAAGTTAGTGTCAGTAAGTTGTGAAAGAGAAACTGAACTAATACACACAAAATAACAACTAGGCCACATTCTTATGCCATGTACCAAAATAGACTCAAAATGGATTAAAAACCAGAATGGAAGACCTGGAACTATGAAAACACTGCAATAAAGGATAGTCAATGATATGTGTTGTAGATCTTACCAATGTGTTTTTATACACTTTTAGGTATATATGTACATATAGCAATCAAGAAAAAATAAACAAATGACACTACAACGATGTAAGTTTTTGCACAGCAAAAGAAATCACCAACAAAACAAACAAATAACTAATCTATCAAAGAGGGAAAGTTATCCACCAATGATGCTAAATATCCAAAATAGATAAAGAACTTATACAACATCAAAAAAAATCAAACAATCTGATTAAAAAATGGTACATGTCCTGAATAGATCTTTCTTCAAACAGGGCAGAAAAATAACCAATACACATATGAGAAGATGTTCAACATCATTCACCGTCAGAGAAATGCGACTTGGACCCACGATGAAATACCATCACACATGTAACAGGATGGCAATTACCAATAAATCAACAAATGAGCATCAGCAATGATACAAAGAAATGAGAACTCTCATGCAGCCACTACACAAAACAAGATGAAGGTTCCTCAGAGACTGACGAACAAGTACCACAGGGCACAGCAATTCCATTTCTGGGGAGTTACTCG